AACTTTAATCTCTGTCTATAGTTAGTTTCCAGTAAGCCACCCTCTATTTTCTGAATACTTCAGATCCTTCGAAGCTGTGGAATATCCTAAGAATAGAAGGATTTAGGGATATTAGAGGTTCTGTGTACTTTTCTCTGGGATTACAGACTTAGAATGGCAGGACTACTTCATGATTTATCTCGAAGACTGGTGAATGTGGACTTTTTAAAAGAGAGAGTATAATTAAATGTGTACAGCATATATCTGGAGCCTTAGGACATAGCTGGTGTAACCACCGTCACTACTGGAGCCACTGAAACACTTCCCGGGCATTTCAGCACATCCCCTTACTTTCTCTAGCCTCTTTACCAAGAGTAGAAGTATACCAACTCTTTTGTGTTTTGCAGTTTCTGAAGTCCTATACTTCTTTACTAACTGATATTTTTTTGGCTCACATACATTCAGAGAAGTTGGGTAGTAACCATGTATTGGCATCGAATTGATTACAAGATTTTTCTTTTCCTTCAAACCCAAATACCAGTAAGTTCAATGTAAATGAGCTATGTTGTCTGTAGAATTTTGTCAAACTATCACTGAAATCTACTCAGTACTATTTTCATAGGTATTAAAAAAACTACTTGCATAGGAGGGGAGATAGGGTACAGTTTTCAAAGCTCTTGGCTTGGTACTTCGTCTTACACATATGCTATTGGGATATTTAAGCTTTAGGTATTTTCAGAATAATAGCCGAACTTATTGCAATATTTTATCTCTTTAAAAAATGTTATTTAGAATATTCCCTGGTTTCCTAAAGACTGAAAAGAATTTCTCATAATTTTGACCAGCTATGCAAATTATTGGCATAAAGAACTTCAACTTTTGAATAAAAAACTGAGGAAAAGTGACTTAAAATTCATGTATTTTTTTCACCATTTGCCCTGTCTTGAGATGTATTTGCCCAGTCTATTCTCTTTCCAGTAAATAGTTAACCCATGTGTTTATAGAGTATCCATACCTGAAATAGTCACTGCATTTATAGTTATTTCTAGAAATTCATGTATCATTTTTTAAAACTATTTTATTTATTTATTTGAGAAGGGGGGAGAGCAAGATAGAGTGAGCACAAGAGCAGGGGGGAAGGAGAAGCAGACTCCCTCCCCCCCCCCCGAGCAGGGAGCCCCATCTGGGGCTCGATCCCAGGATGCTGGGATCATGACGTGAGCTGAAGGCAGACATTTAACCCACTGAGCCACCCAGGGGCCCTCCAGAGATTCATGTATTCTTATTAATTATTTTGTAGTATGTGCTTTTTCCTTTAACATTTTAAAATTTGATTTTGAATTTTTTTCTGAACAATAATTATTTATTATCATTTACGAAGTGATGTGATACTATAGGGCTTATAATAAATAGTGCTAGTCCTCTATCTCATTGTCTTACCTGGATTCCTGCTCCCCTAAGATAAGATGCTTTCACCTTTTTTGGTTGTTTCTTCTGCAGTTTACTTCCACCTCTCCAAATGACATTTTTATACTGCTGTTTTCTTATTTTTTTAGATAGTTATCTATTGATTTCTTACTTTGAATGATGAAGAATTAGCCTTTCAATGCAAGTTACCACACACACTTTCCTCTTTCTTCCATCTTTCTAATACAAGTTTTACATTATTATGTCTCAGGCATATAGTATATTATGCTTACATTTCCTTTCCCGTACTTATAGTTTTTCCTGGTGCAATAATAGCTTTGGATTTTTTATGTGTATACATATCACCAGTTTATTCCCAAGTTCCTTTCTCCTACTATAACATTTCTCTCGATGTTGGTACTGTTAGAGAATACATCATCCCTTATTTTATTAACCTTGTAATCTATTCATCCACTTTTTTTTTCTTGGAAACATCTTACCTTGAGCTTCTGCCCTTTCCTCTGAATTGTACTTATTCTCTCGCTTACCATTAACCCCAAGTTCCCTTTCCCGTTTGTTTGTGGTAGATCCCTTTTTTTCTGGGTCCCATGTCTTCCTCTTTCTAGGTTGACTTCTTAAGTGATGGAGCACATACCTAGTAGCTTTCTGAGAGAATCTGTGATGTGAGGTAAATTTTTTAAGACTTTGCATTCTTCCCTTACATTTGATTGATAGTTTGGATATAGAGTTCTAGATCAGAAAGCATCTTGCCTTTGGAGTTTTGAAGGCATTACTTCAGTTGACTTCTAATTCCTTGTGTTCCATAAAAAATTCCAGTGCCTTCCTATACTTTATTCTTTGTGGGCGATCATTTTTGGCCTTTCTAAAACTTAAAATCTTTTCTCTAGTATTCTAAACTTAAAAAACATAGAATACCCATGTTATAGTCTAAGTATAGAAAAATGTATTTAGTCTTCATTGAAAGTATAAAAACAAGAAAGGATAATTATAAATAATGATCTAGTAGTGTGCTAAGAACTCCAGTATTTATAAAACTAAAAGATTCTATTCATTTCTGGCATTGGCTCAGGATTTTATTAAATGAAACAGATTCAAGGTGTGGAATTCAAATAAAGGAAACTTCCTTGGTTTACCTTAGCAGATATCTGAGATACTAAGATTCTGAAAATAAAACTGGAGCCAAATTTTCTCACTAGATGGATTAAGTAGTTACGGACTTTGTTGGTGTTGAAGGTGATAAGAGTATTCACTGTCTTCATTTCTCTTGTTACCACCCTGGTTTGATACAGCTTTCTTAGAGCATATGGCTCCACACTTAGTTTTACATTGATTTTCGACTGTATTATAATTATGTAATATATAGTATCTAATAAATATCATTTAACAGTTTTCTGCTTTTTATTTTTGGTATTTGTTGGCTTTTGTTCTTTGTCCTTATTATACACACCGATTTTGAACCAGGCTTTACCATTAAGTCCAGAAAACTTTTCTTAAATAAATTTTTCTTAAATAGTAAAAAATAAACTTTTCTTAAATAGTAAAAAAAAAAAAAAAGAAAAAGAAAAAAAACCCCTCTGATTTTACTACTGGTTTTGATAAAACTTTCAGTATGAAAACCTGTAGTGATTATCTGCATTATGACAAATTACCAAGTATCCTCTCTCTAAAGAAGTTTTACTGATAAAGCCACAGAGCTGGTTTTCAGCCATGCAGAAATGCAGATAAACCTGTTTGTTTGAAATAGGTTTTGGGAAGTTATTTGGGATATGTTTTTTGGCCTCAATTTCAGTTAGAATAACAAAAACCTCTTGCGAGATCTCCCAAAGACAGTTTAAGAGTAAAGAATACAGCAGACTGGACAAAAACATCATACTGAGTTATTCACAACCAGTTGGTAATGGGAAACATTCATGTTTCTTTTCGCTTACAGTAGTCTGTAATTCAGAATCCCACAGTACTACAAATAGTTATTCATCAGAGATTTTGAGAGGACTGAACTCACTGATGATTGCATCTGTCCCTTTCCATGGGATCCTTCTGTTACCTTTCATTTTCTTTGAATCAAAAGAAACCTTTGTTTTTACAAGAATCATTTCATGTCCCTTTCTTCTTGACATTGTTTTAGAAACCCTGCGCAGTGACTTCCGTTTTGGAAGCTGCACTCATGCTCATGGCAAGCCACCTGGAAGCATTAAGATTTCAAGAAAGAGTATTTTTTTTATATAGCTAAACTGCCCCGTAGAAGATAGAACCTTACTTATGGGGTTAAATCACAGTATTTTATAACATTTTCTCCTAGAAGAGTGAACACTTTAAAAAAAAAATGAACATGACATATATTACTGAAATGTGAATATTCTTTTTTTTAATATTCTTTTTTTAAACCTCATTTTTTTTAGTTGAGAAAACTGAGAAAAAAAGTTTTGTCAACTTTTTATTATGAAAGATATGAAATAGTAAGATGTCATTCTTTCAGTGCTCAAAGAAAAAACTGACTTAACTTTGACAGATTTCCAATCTGGATTTCTGAAGACAGAGTTAGAAAGGACTTTCTGTGCCTTGCACTTATAAAAGTGAACTGCAGTCTAATTAAATGAGAGTTGCATAGATGAAAGACAAAATCCTTTGATACATCTTTTACTGATACAAGTATTCTGAAAGTTGGAGAATGCTTTATCAACTCTTGTTCTGTTGTTTTTAATTTAATTATATTAATAAAAGGCAGCATTTTATTTTTAATCTTTGCATTCTAGAAGAATTTCAAGAGGAAATGCTTATAGTAACCTGATGAATCTGTTTTTAATACTGTTTGAATTCTGCTTCATGTATCCTTTCTATTCTAAGATCTTTCCTTTCTTACATGTTCTTAAAGTTCTGTAGGATTGTCTTTCTGCTAGAAATCCATATTTACATTCCCAGGAGTTAATTTTTAAGCTTATTTAAAATATCAAGGATAGTGGGAATTGGCTGGCTAACTATAAATTATTCATGCTTAGCCCAACCACTTATATCCATTTTTAGTTTCCTCATATGAGATTAAGAGAAAACTCTGCTATCTTGAAATCATTTAGAAAATCACTTTCTTTTTCATTTCTAAATTAGTTTGCTAACAATTTTCTGTATGAAGAATATAATCTAAAAAATCATGCTATTTATTTAACTTTTTCATCGAGGCTGAACTTTGGAGAGACAGAGAATGTTTTGGTATTGAGTCTTATTACTTAAGGCTTCATCAAAGCTGGCTTAAAGCCCAGTTTAGAAAGTAGTTCAAAACAGCTTTGTGTTTTTAAGTAATCGTGCTCTTGCTGCCTATGCTGCTTATTAACACAGTTTTATTCTCTCTGTTACAGAGAACATATCCATCACAAACTTGTCTTGCTTAACTAACTCGACCTTTTGCTCTTAGTAATATTCTTTTTCAACCTCTTATTATACTTCTTTTCTTCCCTTGTTCTTTCCTCTGTGAAGATATTTTTCTGGCCTGGATTTTTTGAAGGAAGAATATTTAATAAGCAAATAATCCTTTCTTGATAAATAGGCTCTCCTGGGTTAACTAATTAGTCTACTTCACTTAGTCTTCCATCGTTTTCTAGGACAGTCTCCGTAAGAAGGATGACAGGATTGAAGAGCTGGAAGAAGCACTAAGAGAGAGTGTACAGATAACTGCAGAGCGAGAAATGGTGCTAGCACAAGAGGAGTCAGCCAGGACCAGTGCTGAAAAACAGGTCTGCAATTTTATACAGTTACTGGCAATGCTGCTGGTTAAACCAAAGGTAAAAACCCAACCAGTATAGTTTAGGTAAACCGTACATGTGTTTATAGGGTTTCAGAAGCACTTCATCAGGTGTAAGTATCGAGACTTAAATAAGAATTGAAATGTGATTGCGTAAGAAAGACTCATGTTGAAAGTCTCTGCATTAGTAAAATGTTCATGCTCATGCTCATGTATCTGGTGAGATGAAATGGAACTTGTCTGTTTATTGCAAGACTGGTCACAATCCTGCTTTTAAGTTGAATGGGAAAGCCAAACATTTCTGAGTTAAAATGTTAATTTTAAATATCAGATAGTTTATTTATTTTATACCCTGCCTTATTGGAAGAACAGTTAAAATTATAACAAGGTATTAACAAGGTTAATAGTAAGTATGACGGACATAGTTATCATGGCACTTGAGAGCATCCCCGAAGTGACTTGTTGAAGAGTTCTACTGCTCTTGTGTGTGGTGTTTGCTTTACATATTTTTCTGTGTCTTTTAGATTCCTCTACACTTGCTTTTAACATTTTGTTAGGAAGGATAACTAAAGATAGGAAATGTTAATGGAAAAAATGGTTTCAACAAGTGAAGGCTCTAATCTCAATTCATATGAGTATGATTTGAGGTTTTGCTTCTTTTTTTTTTTTTAAGGTTTTATTTATTTATTCATGACAGACAGAGAGAGAGAGAGAGGCAGAGACATAGGCAGAGGGAGAAGCAGACTCCATGGAGGGAGCCTGACGTGGAACTCGATCCCGAGTCTCCAAGATCATACCCTGGGCTGAAGGCGGCACCAAACCACTGGGCCATCAGGGTTGCCCTGATTTGAGGTTTTGAATCTCCCTTACAGAGATAAGTGACATTTAATTTTTTCAGGTATTGTTTCCTTTCCATTTCTTTGTTGGAGAAATATACATGCCAAAAGGGTGAAAAATTCAATGAGAGGGCAACCTGAATCTTTTGGGAAACCCCCAAGATGAGACCCTGTGGTCTTATGTGTTAAGGTAGTTGCAGTGCAAGAAAGGGTGCATTTTATTTTTTATTTTTATTTTATTTATTTATTTTTAAAGATTTTTATTTATTTATTCATGAGAGACACACACACACACAGAGGCAGAGACACAGAGGAGAAGCAGGCTCCATGCAAGGAGCCTGATGTGGGACTCAATCCCAGGACTCCAGGATCATGCCCTGGGCTGAAGGCAGGTGCCAAACTGCTGAGCCACCCGGAGGTCCCCGAAGGGTACATTTTAAAGCAGCCATGTTGTAATATGTGCCGTAAGGGAGTCCCTCCATAACTGTGTTAGTATGAGGATATGATTTCTTTAGTGCTTAGTATAGAAAGACAAACTGACATTTACTAGTGAAGCTGAAGAAAAATGGAACTTTTCACAGTCTGTAGTGTCTTTTAGTGCCCTGTTCCTATATAAATGCCTTGTCCACTTCTTACTTGAATACTTCCTGAGACACAGTTAAATAGAGATTGGGTTAATCTCTAGTTAATAGAGATTGGGTAGTAGTAGAGAGCTTCAGAAAAGGGATGGTTACAGTCATTGTTCCAAGGTGAAGAGGGATTTTTTTATCTTGATTTTACCTTTTTTGTATTCTTACCTTCATTTTCAAAATGTCCCTATTTTTTCTTTCTGTACAGAGTTCTTTCTGCTTGACATATTGGGGATCATATAGAAATGTTGGCAATAATACATCTTGTAACTATGACATATAAATTGATAGTACGCATTTAAAAATGTATTATTGTGTGAACTAGTTATTTGCTTTCTTGGTGGTAGATTTTAATATATTTATGTGTTATTTGTTTATAATAGACTTACTTTAGATCAGTTTTGTTTTTTAGTTTACAGAAAAGTTGAGCAGAAACTACATGGAATTCCCATATATTCCTTCCTTCACCTAAGTTTTCCATATTGTCAACATATTGGATTGCTGTGCTAGATTTATTAGAATTGATGAGCCAATATTGATACATTATTAACTGGTCCATAGCTTACATTTTGGTTAACTTTCATCTCATACAGTTCTGTGGGTTTTGCCAAATGTATTGTATTCAAATGTATTGTGTTATGTATTCACCATTACAGTATTATTTAGAATAGTTTGCCCCAAAGTTCCCCTGTACTCCAGCTATTCATCCTTCCTTCATCTCCCCAATCCTTGATCTTTTTGCTGTCTCCATAGTTTCTCTTTTTCTCGAATGTCCTGTAAGTTGAATCACACAGTGGGTAGCCTTTTTTGAGTGGCTTCTTTCATTTAGCATATGCATTTTTAGGTTCTTCCATCGGTTTTTGTGGCCTGATAGCTCATTTTGTTTTACTTCTGAATAATATTTCATTGTATAGACATGCCACAATTTGTTTATTCCTTCACCTATTGAAGAACATCTTGATTACTTCCAATGTTTGGCAATTAAGGATAAAGCTTTTCTATAAACATTTATGTGTAGGTTTTTGTATGAACATAAATTATCAACTCATTTAGGTAAATACCTGGGAATTGCTGGATTGTATGGTAAGACTATATTTAGTTTTGTAAGAAACTATGAAACTGTCTTCCAAAGTAGCTATATATAATTTGCTTTTAATTGCATGCTTTTTTCTTTCTCTCTTCCTGTTTATCTTTCTTTCTACCATTCTGCTACCCACTGCCTATCTGAAGCTGTTGAGTGAAATATTGCATGAGACCAGTCATTTGGGTCCTGAGTGGTTTAAGCTATGAAAAAGCCGCTTTTATGTTTGTATTTCTGAGGCCATGTGACCTTCATCCACTGTCCCCTCTTTCTGTCATCTTCTGTTTTCTTATTTTTATATTGTTCTGTCTTCTAACTCCACTGTTAATTTTACTTATATGCATTAATTGTATATTGTAATACCAAGGTAATCTACACATATTCATTTGAAGTATCTTAAATGGGTAAAGTTTTTTTTGGCTAGGGACATTATTCTTACTATCTTACTCAGGTCCAGAAATTATCTGTCTCTTACCTAAATTTAGCCTCTGAGAAGAAATAACTCCCTCTGTTAGAAGGGAAGGATATCTGTATCTCTTGATTTCTTAAAGAGCAAAGTAAAATTGTTTGGGAATAATCCCTCTTACTAAAATAAAAAACATCTTTTAAAGGTTGAGAGGAAAAACTCACAAAAGAAAACATTTCTTCTTATAGGATCCCCTTATAGTTTCTTTATTCCCAATATATGCTGCTCCATATTGAGCTCATGCCCAAAATATAAAGAAATTGTATAATGATCTCATGAGGGAAGATGTTCGGGGATCCCTGGGTGGCTCAGCGGTTTAGCGCCTGCCTTTGGCCCAGGGCGCAATCCTGGAGTCCCGGGATCGAGTCCCGCATTGGGCTCCTGGCATGGAGCCTCCTTCTCCCTCTGCCTGTACCTCTGCCTCTCTCTCTGTCTATTATGAATAAATAAATAAATCTTAAAAAAAAAAAAGAGGGAAGGTGTTCTATAACCTGTGTGGGCAAATAGATGAAAGTGGATAATCCCTTCAGGGGAAGCCCAAGGGCTTCTTTTACTTTTGCTTTGTACTTTTCTATGTGGACTTTCTTCTTCTGAAACTTGTCTCTGCTCAAGTTTTAGCAGGTTTTGTGTTTTGTTGAATGTGAGTCCCATTTTCTTAAAATGAGACTAGAGTAAAATTCATTCTTTTATGTGTCAGAATTGTGAGGAGGTAGGAAGCAGTATCATTAGTTCAGCAGTGCTGCTATAAACTTAAATTTTTGAAATGCTTTTTTCTTTTTACTAGAAAAGAATGTTTTAAATATCGTCACTAAGAGTAAGCTTATTCTTTGAAGTCTTTTGCAACTACATTGTTAACTAAAAGTTTAAAAAATGCCTCTAAAGTAATAAGACATTTTCTTATGGCTCAATAAGCTGGATTTGTATCTGTTCCTAAAGAGTATTTCTTAGTGTTTTGAGCAGTGATAAAGATGTATCCTTTCAATATAACTAAAATTTGCTCATGAATTCTTTTATTTTTCAACATTCATTTTTCATAGTGGTACTCATTTTTTAAATTACTATCTTGTTATTTGGCTTGTATGTTACTTATAAATTTTGACTCAGAAGATCATAAGGTTTTACCTATGATTTACAGGTAGTTTTAGATCACTGAGCATTTTTTGGATTATATCCTAAAGATTTTTCTCCAGATACTTGCATATTAAATATTGTGCATTCTAATAATTAAAATCACTTGAGCAACAACAAAAAATGGCACTCTAATTAAATGGCATTTTTACAGCCTAATAGGACACGTTGGACTTACTTGGTTTTTACTCTGGATCTCACAGAGTACCCAACTTCTTTCTTCAGCATTCAAGTCCTTTTCCTTCCCTGCCAGGGAGATGGGCAGGTGGGAGAGCCAGACTTGGCCTTCACTTTCTGTAGTACTTGATTCTTTATTGTGAAAATGGGTAGTATAGTCATTTAAACTTGATCTAGCCTCTTTGCATCTTACAAAGTTAAATAGCTAAAAAAAAGTAAAATAAGAAGGCAGTGCTAATGGAATGCATATTGGTGGCACATGCTTCATCATGATTCACTTCCTGCTTCTCCTATTCCATTGTTCATTTTTGAAGACAGTGGATTTTTTTCTTGTGTTTCTGTCTTCTTCATTTCAGCTTAGTCAAACTTCTTATCCTCAGCCACATCTGGTTTGTCACTCTTGTGGAGGAAGTGGAGCAAGGTACATGAGTGAGTGGGGTGCAGACTACAATTGGCAATCACCAAGTGTCCCATCTTTTTACTCTTTAAAGATTTATTAAATTCTCTATTGGCTGTGAATCTACCCAGTTAGTTACATGTCATTTATCACCAGGATGCCCAAATACTTTCTCAAACAAAACAAGTCGCCACTAGTGAAGCATCACTAGTAACTGAGTAGCCTATAGACGATAATGTGTGCTAATAAAGTTATAATTGTACCCTCCAATCCTTTCTGTTGCCCTCTTACTTTTTTTTTTTTTTTTTTTTTTTTTTTTTTTTTTT